CGTGTCCCTGAAGGAGGAAGTGCTTTAGCACTTTTGTTGACTATGCAGAAGACCATGGGGTTTAAAACTGCATCACAAACGGGGGACCTCAGTGTATCTGTTGAAACATCACTGGTACCAAAGCAGGTGTATTCAGTGAAGTGTTTAAACTGTGAATTGCTATACTCCCCAGTGGCTTTATGGCATCTTGTCACTGCCTAAACCAGAGAGAGGAAACACAAAACAAACATCCCAAAGTCCCCCACAAATCAGCTTTCCCTGCTGGGTCCTCACTAACCATCTCTTACGATTACTTTTGGGGGCAGTGGGGATGCAAATATCACAAGGAAAAGCAATCAGAGCAACCAAAATTGTGATTCTATGCACACCAGTGGCTTGTAGGGACCCAGCCAAGTGCAGGGGGTGATTCTGAGCTCCTGACTTGGAGAAGGTAGAAGACGCTGTTGCCAGAGGTCCTGTGAAAGGCTTTAAATTCAAGCTTCTCCCAGAAAACAGTGAAGTAATTTTTCTTCTTTCTCTTTAAGAGCAGAAGGAGCAAGGAAATAATTTCTTTCTTTCCTCTCACTAGGACTAACCACTCATTACTAATTAACACCAAAAATATAACCACTTGCCCTTTCCCATGTGCCGACGCTCATTGGCAACATTGCACAACCAGCCATACCACTTCCCTGCATCTTCTGGACATTTCAGCAAGTCATAGGAATGGTGAAGTTTGGGGTTGGCCTATAAAATCTTCTCCCCATGAGGTCATTCTGTTTACCCATTATGGGGCAAATCAGCTATGTCTGAAGTGCCCGTCCTTACTCCCTGCAGGTCCAGCCTGCACCCTCCGCCTGGATTTTTGTGTAGTCCTCTGTGCCCTTGAGCCCAGCTGTGTAGCAGTAGGGAGGTATTGCTCCTCCTCCACATCTGATTGCGTTGCTCTCCGTGATGGGTGGTGTGGTTGGGCTGGAGCAGGGAATGTGGCTACTTGCCAAGAGTAAGGTCAGTACAGCCTGGGAAACAAGGGAGCTTGGCAGAAATCACCTTTCATTACCTCTGGGTTAGTACAGGTAGATGCTGCCTCAGGTGCTGGACTAACAGCATTATACCCAGCGTACCACCACATTCAATTTTTGTCTAGGCTTTTCTACTTCTGCCAAGTGACAACCCCATTCTGCTTTCTTGACTGACCTCCAAAGCAGAATATCCAAGACAATAAAAATGCAATGTCTGCCTGGAAACCACCCAGGCAAGCGGCCAGATCTGTAGCCCAGCTCTTCACCTCAAGGCTCGCAGCCAAAATCCTGTCCTCAGACACAATTCCTCCTGAAGCCAGCCAGGGAAACAGACCAGCATCTGCTCATCAGATCTGGCCACCAGTTACAGTGCAACTTGGGCACAGTCTGGGCTCTTTGCTGGTGTAAAGCAGCTGAGCTCCAAAACTGAGGATAACCTTCACTCCGAGGGTGGAAAACTGGCAGTTCCTACAGGACATGCTTTCGGCAGAAAGTTCAGGATTAGATGGACAAGTAGAAAGATTTCAATTGTTTCAAAGGAGAACTACTCAGTAGCAAGCAGAGGTGACTCACAGCAGAGAGGACTCCTGAGCTGCCTGTTTACGCCAAGCTTTGCAAGATATAAAAACACGAGTAACCCATTGCTAGTATAGGCCAGGCCTCCTCTCATGCCACTGTTAGAAGGGAGCTTGGACATCACACCACTAAACTTTCTACATATTAAAATGGTAGTTATGCTGAACAAGGCCAGAAGTAAAGCACCGAAATGTTTTTCAGCCACAGGAATTATAGCCTTTGAAGACAAAAAAGGATGTTTAGCTCACAGCAGAAACCTTCACTGCTTTTGTCCTCTATTTCCTTGCCTAGGTCAGAAAAGTCTCTGCATATGCATTCGGCCTTGTTCTGACAAGCTGTTAAGGATAAATGCTTATCAAAGGCTTTTTCTGAAACAGGTATTTCTTGTGTAACCCTCTCAGTACGGGAGCTGTGTTAGGATACCCAAGTGCTGCTTCTTCCCACATCTGACCACCTTTGTCAAGCTCTCTCCTCTCCTGTCTTTAAAAGTTTTCCCTTCCAAGGTGCCCAGGAAAGGTGTTGCTTTGCCAGATTGAGGCATGCTTGGAATTGGTAACGATGGTCTGCAAGACCTCTCCAGCAGTGCTTGCTGCACTAACCTTCCCTCTCATCTTCCCACTAACACATACATTTACACATTTATGGGTATATTTATGAGAAAGAGTAGTTTATTATTCACATCCAACCTCACAGCTTCTCTGCTAAGCTAAAGGTCCTGGGGATGGTCCTGTTTGAGACGATCTATGGCTCCTCAGATGAGGGCTGGGAATGGCATTGTTTTCATAAGCAGCTCCCAGGAGACAGCCATCTTCAAGGGAGCTGCCCCTGGACTGTCCAGACCTGCAGCCTCAGGGTCAACGCCTGAGCAAGAGCTCCCACGAGCCATCCTGCTGCTTCTGCAGTGCAACCACATAGAGAATGTTTTTGTAGTGGTGAGACCATTTATTTGAGAAAACTACCTACGTCTAGCTCTCTCCCTATTAATGCAGTTCTTCAGCAGCATCTTCATTTCCCCTTTTCCCTCTATATTCTAGGACAGCACCTACAATAATTTGGGATTGACTGCACCCATTATCCAGGCCCTCTTGAGATTTTTATTCTGACAAGCCTTCTTCAAACATGGCTTTCAAAATTGTTAACGTGGACCCAGTCTTGGAAAAGGCAAATCTGTCTTAATTGCCAAGAAAGAAAACATACCACAAACTAATCAGCACCGATGAGTTCTGCTGCCTCATACCTTTGTGTCATTCGGAGAGGGACACCTGGGAAGATGTGTGTGTGTGTGTGCGCATGTGTGTGTGTGCGTACAAGGGGCATTGCATCAATTTACACCAGCCGGGGCCTGGCCCAGGCATGCTCACCCAGGTGCAGATGGAAGACAACAGCGAGTCACTTACAGCAAGGAAAGTGTGATGCAACTGCTCTACAAGCAGATGGTTTAGCAACCCCTGGCAGCATCTGCCTGCCCTGATACCCAGTCCAACCTACACTGCCGACAACCCACCACTAAAGGGCACCAGGGGGACGGACGTTTGTCCAGCAGTCTGGTGGCTGGATACAGTCCTGGTAATATAACCCAGGGGACCACACAGCCCTCTGAATTTGAAAGCAACAAAGAGATCTCTTCCCCACCCCCACCATCTTTCAATGAGCAGTTCTGCAATCCTTTCAAAAGCAGAAATGCAACCGTGCTCCGTGCCAGAGCGATTTTGGGGAAGCTCTGCAACACACTAACCATTTAAGGTCAAACAGCTCATTAGCCAACCCAAACTAGCACTCAGAGAGGGCTCGGCTCACAGCTAAGCCTGATCAAATGCTATGATAGAAGCCTTAACAAGCGCACGAGCGTTTCTGGGGCTGGCCTGGACAGCGCTCGGAAGCTGTGCTGCTGTGGTCTCCCCACACGGGCACAGCACGTGCTCCTCACGCCGGCGGCTCCTGCTCGGGGTGTATTCCCACTCCTAATCTTTCCAACACCCTAATCAGCTGTGCATCTTTCCCCTGACATCTGCGACTATGGGAAAGAAAAGTGCTTTTCTCGGTCTGGCCACCCTCAGCCCTGGGGACTCGAGCGCTAGAGGCTGGGGGAGAGGCTGCACACACAGTGCGGGCAGGGCAGCTGGCTCGGCAGGCGTCCCCTGCGCGGGGGGCCGCGGCCTGGCCTGTTCCCCGCTCCCCTCAGGGCCGCGGTTCTCCCACTGCCGCCCCGTGTGCCGCGGCCGGCACTCAGACCCCCTCCCGCTCCTCAGCGCTCCACTCTCTGCCGCCGCCGCGCGCGCCGCCGCCCCGTTATATAGCGCCCTAAAAATAGCTCGCCGCGCGCCGCCTCGCGAGCCGCGGGGAGGGGGCGGGGGTCGCGCTGTCGGCCAATCGCCGCCGGCTCCGGCTCCTCGGCCCCGCCCCCCGCGCCCCGAGCGGCGTCGCCATTGGGCGGCGGTGGCTTCGGGCTCGCGGCGGGCCCGCCCCTCCCGCCCCGCCGTTTACCCTACATGGCCACGCGCTGGCGGAGCGGGGCCGCGCGGCTGCGCGTGAGGGGGGGCCGCGCCGGGCTGGCCGGGGGAGGGTGAGAGGGAAGCGGGATTGAGGGGGGGGGGGGGGGGGGGGGGGGGGGGGGGGGGGGGGGGGGGGGGGGGGGGGGGGGGGGGGGGGGGGGGGGGGGGGGGGGGGGGG